ACCTGAGTCTGTCAGTGGCAGAAATAAGAACTCTTAGCAACGTTACCTTGCGTTGCAGCCATTGCAGACCTTTTTTTAACAAATATTTTCACATCTGACTCTGTGAATTAAAGGTTAAACTAGTGTTGGAGATAGTTGGAAAGACTAACAAAGGCGGTATTGGTGAGTTTTATTTTTTTCCACTGTTTTGGTCTGATCTACAACCTTTAATTAGACACTTTAGTTCCTCCAAAGGTTCATAATTCCTGTGTGAAGCTCCTGTGGTGGAAACACGACTATAGAAGATGAAGAAAATCTGAAAATATTCCCATTTTAGAAGCTTGAACCAGTGAATATTTTCCATTTTTTCCTCAAAATAATAAACAGAAGATTATAAAAAATAGTTTCTGTTTCTGTGTAATTTTCAGTCCATTGATTAGTACAGTAATCTTTCCAGCTCAAAACTCAACTTGTTAGATGTTTAGAAGCCTTGAACACGGTGTTCGTCGCTCTGATACTTCCATGTTTTGCAGAAGAATATTTGCAGAAACATCCCATCATCAGCTGCTCCTCTCACATTGTCCTGTGTAATGAGACAGACATAAAGAGCCTTTTTTCTATTGATAATCTAATTGTAAACACAAGTAGCCCTCATAAAAATATCTCTTCTTTTGAAAGCTAATTTTAAATGTTTGTTTTTTGTTTTTTTTGCTGCTGCAGGGTATGAAGACGTGTTTCATCCCATCAGCAGCTGGCGTAATGTAGACTACTGGTTGAAAGCTAGTTTCCTTTTCCACATTCGGTGCACTTTTTATCCAAGCCGGATCGTATCAGTTACATTTAATATATTTAATACATTGATACGCAGGTGATCTGTCGCCCCTCCTCTGACACCCTGACTCCGTTTCTAGAAGCCAAAAAGCAGAAGTGTTGTTGTGTATCCGCAGCTTTTAGGGTGGTAACAATCAATCTGCAGTCACGCTCCAGCTGGGTGAGAGTGTGCTGAGACACAGGAGGTGAGGTTTCTCTCAAACTCTGGCTTTATGAATGTTTACAGGTGGGCTTCCGTCTCTCTCTCTGCTGCAGTGTTTTGGCTTTAGGGAAGAGGAGATTGTCATTTTTATTGCTGTTGTTGTTGTTGGAGAGAGGACAGTCTGATTCTTTTATTTTAGGAGAACAACTCAACTTTTATTTATAGCACCTTTCATACAAACATGCAGCCCGAAGTGCTTCACATAACAGACTGAAACAACACATAAAAAGAGCAATAAATAACATGTTGCAAGTCTATAAATAAATACAATAGAAACAATAAAATGTAAAACATGAAGAAAGTTGAAGTCGATATAAAAATAAACACCAGGGAGACAAATAATGTAAAAACTAATGATTAAAATCTAAAAACTAAGACTGTAACATTACTCCAAAAGCCAGATTAAAAACATAGGTCTTTAATTTCCTTTTAAAAATACTAATATCCGGTGCTTTTATAGGACACATAAGGAACATTTAAAAGAGAAGCAGTGGAGGACCTCGGTGATCTGGAACATAAATTAAAATAAAGTCTCTTATGTGCGGTTAAGCAAGGTTATTTAAAGCTTTATAAACACATAAAATCCCTTTAAAATCAATTCTAAAAAACACAGTACAGTGGAGTGATCCATGTTTATAGTTTAAAGACTCTGGCTGCAGGTTTCTGAACCAGCTGTAGCTTTCAGAGGTAATCCAGTAAAAAGGGAATCACAATAATCTAAACGACTAGTAATAAAAGTGTGAGCGAGTATTTCAGCATTTAAAAAGTCTGTTTTTTTAATTACCTTCTGATCTCACTGTGTAGTTATATTTTATGTCAACCTTTCAGAATCGGGTTTATTAAGTAGGTTTTGTATTTTGGTGCATAATGTTCACAATAAACATAGTAAACAAGAAAACAAGCACAGTGCAAGTCAAGAATCTAAATAACATCATGAGACTGCAGAGCGGCAGCAGCTTTATCCTGTTAAACATCTTTTACTCAGACGGCTTTTTCTGTCAGAATCCTGAAAGTGACTCCTAACTTCATCACTTTTAAGAGACCAATCAAATCTTTCAGCAACAAACTCCTGTACTCATGTAGTTTTGTAATCTGTGTTTTTATGCATCATTTTTTACCTTTGTGTTTCGGCCTGTCTTTGTTTACTGTGTCTCTCCCTAAAAAATAAACCATAAATAAATAATAACACCTTTTTTGAGAGTGAGGGCTACCTAAAGGGAGAAAATGGTTGGGAGGGTTACTCTGTGTACTTGACGAACCTCCATGTTAAACCGATGCTTTCAATAGAATAACCCAGCGGTGTTTAGTCTTTTAGAAGCACTTTGAGTTGGAATTGCGGGCGCGGAAGTTATTTGTTCGCTGACAATAATCTACTAAGAGTCCATTTACTCATCCTGCCTAATCAGTGTAAACCAATTAATTAATTGATAGATCGCTAAAATCTAAAAGTGCAACTCACAAAAGGTTGGCGAGCGCTTAGGCCACAAGTTGGGACAGTGCGAATGCAGAAGGGCAGAATGGAGATGCGTGGTTCACAACTCAGAACCCAAACACACCACAGACTGAGATTACACAACATGCTCTGTGGGGACCTCATAGGCTCCTCGTGCAAGCAGATGTTATTATTACACAGATATGAACTGCCACTCGCACAATAGAAGCCCTAACACACAAATTCAACAAGCAAGAGCTGTGAACGAGAAATAAAGCACAGAGAGAGGCCCAGCATACACTCTCACAGGCAATACTCCGCTCTCCAGACGACTTCTTCTCACGCAAATCAACCTGACTTTTAACAGTTATGGGGCAAAGAACCAAGCTAGGCTCTCTACCAATACTGGTGAAGTTCCACAATTAACTATACCACAGTAAAAATGTTCCACCAAGACTTAGTATCGGTTCTCGTGAGATCCCTACTTTCAACACAATCACACAGACCTCCATGTTTTATTGGGCTACCGACATCTGACGCTGTAGAGGAGCAGTTACCGAGGTCTCACAACTCCACGCTAAGAGACCTGGAAACAAACTTCAGTGTGTAGCATTTGTTCCTGTTTCGCCCCACAGAGCTGCTAGCATGGCTGTAGACTTCAGTTTAATCAAGGGGGGTGTTCAAAGAATTGAAACAAATAATCCTGAACTGTCGCAAGAC